TATATATATATATGTATATACAAATATATATATGTATATATTTATGTATATTTATATATTCAAACGAAAGGAAAACGATAATCGTTCTAGCCTACTGTCACGTAATTGGCTAATATGCCATACTTACAAACTGTACGACAATGTACAGTTTAGGATCATTTCTGGCATATTGAGGAAACGTATTTTAACTAGTTTTATCTATACATGTTTCATTCTTCTCTCAAATAAATACACGACTATCACAATAATACACGTGTCTTACCAATTCGTTCTCGCGTTTAATGACAGTTTACAATCGTTTGCAGAGTCTTTATTTTATTACACTTTCCAATCACCTCCGGATTTTGTTCTCCTAGTCTATTATAAAGAACGCGAAACGACATAGTAACGCACGAAGGATCCGTATAAAATAAATATTTTACGCATCTTCGGTTTGCTCGAAGCGACTTCGAGTCTCGATAATTCCCTAAAGCTGCCAGAAAATAAGAAAGATTTCACTCTTCCCAAAATTGTCTCTTTTTTTCTTTGCTTTGGACGAATCTATCTTTCCATCGATCGATAACCTACACACGTCATATTTTTCTATGAACTTGTTTTAATATCTAACCGAAGCTTCTTTAAAACTCTTTTTGCCTATCTCTTTCGGAGTTCTATGAAAAGAAAAACGTTGTCTTTTCATGCCTAATGTATACTCGTCCAGCATCGTCGTCACGATTGCTGGAAATACATGATTTTCTAACCTTAAACGTGCTACAACTTTGAACGTCTTTCTACACGTTTGTCTCTCAGGGAAACATTTTGAGTCTACTATCGAAATTCATTTAAATATGTATCTAGGCCCCTAAAGCGCAGCGTAATTCTTATACAAAACATAATGCCGAACGATTCTCAGCCAATGGCATCGCTTTCCCATTTCTTCATATTTTTCCGTTGCTTTTCACTCAATGAACGATGCCACGCCAACGAATATCCATCAACAGGTAAAGTGAACACCTGTATTTCCTGCTAAATCCTTCACATGCAGTTGGATGGACCTTTGTCTGGATTCGTTTAATTATTCTTCACGATCCTGATAGGGACGCAGGCTCGTGAATAGACAGTCTTGTGTCTCGCCAGGCTTCTTTCGAAGCTGAGTCTGCAGTAAAGTTTAACTCTTCGAATGTACATTGGTCTTTTGCGCCTTCTTTTTTCTAGCCGCAAGCATGTCATAGAAAGGATTGTGTGATATGCTTTGCCTGTAATAAAAAAACGTTTAAGAGCATTTAGTGAAAGTGTTAAAAAAAAAAAAAAAGATTGTTTAGGGAATCAGTTTATAAGTATTTCTAATTCAATGTATCTAAGTTAATAGGAATACTTTACTGTATTGAATTCTCAATTGAGGTATTTATGTCTTTCCTACTAAAACTTTTGAATTAAAATCCGAAATTGCCCACATAATAAAAGATTCGTAAAAGCGTTAAATAAGTAGGTCTAACTTCAGTTAGAACCAAGGGCCTCCTTTGAATTATTCACAGAATGAATAACAGCGTACCGCACGCATTTGATCCATTCTTCCTTTTCTTCGTCTGTGGCCGCAGACATTCTGTACACGGTGTGCTTGCCTGCAACAAGCGAGGAATAACAGTTACAATGCCGCCGTAATTACCGCGTGCACCACGACGTGCTATAAAAAAAAGATTGCGTTAAATGGCAACGCAACACGCACGGGATTCGATCGCCACACGTGAGAAAGATGTTTTGCCCGACCTGCACTTAAATTCTTTATAGCCTGTGCTCCATTAGTTCTCCGTTCTTTTAAGCTTTAATTTAAGTTTTAATTGAAAGAACTCAACGTGCGTTCAGAATTATACTTTTTCCAAGATACAATCTTTTCCAAATTACATACATGCGAATGGATGAGATACAGTGAAAAATAGCAACGTAATGGTCGAGGTATGTAATTTAAAAACAATGTACATTTATCAAGCTTTAACATTCTCATAGCATTTTCCACGCATAGTATAATTCCAGGTAATCTTCAATTGCTCAAAATGTTCAAATTGTGCTAGCAATTAAATACGCTGGCAGCCAGAATCGACTGGGCTCGTCACAGGTCACAGGCCACCGATCAATTAACGCTTTCATCCAGGATCCCAGGTAGTACCTTCGACAACTTTTCCCTCGCTGTCCGTCTTGCACGCCTTGATGAACTCTGAGCCGGCGGCGTACAGCTCGAAGCAATGCGGCTTGTGCCGATCCTGCACCTCTCTGACCTGAATGTTTTCCAGCGGAATGATGCCTCGTGGCTCCTTGTCGGTCGTGTATTCGAAGTAATAGAGACAGTTGTCGTTCAATATGAACCATCGTCTCTTCCAGCTCTTGTAACGTCCGCCTGAAACAACAAGCACCATGCCGATTTAAGAGCTAACGATCGATGCACAATTCTAATAGCGTTATTTACCTGCTGTCTCCGTCAGGGCAGCAGAGGGACAAAGCGATACGATATAAGAAAATAGGAAGAAACTTCGACGGTTTTCATCTCATTGTCATCGGGGGATCCTTCTGGACCAACAATTCCCAAACTTTTCTATTTCGTTATATCTCTTTAAGTAAATTTCACTTACAAAGCCTATAATGCGAATTATTTTTGTCAATTTTTCAGTTATTTCGACTGCGTTTCGTCGCCACTCGGATATAAAATACCTGCCGTCACGTCGTACCTCGGACCACCACCGGAATCTTTGGAATGCTTGGACATAATGCTGAAAATATTTGAGCCATTCGAGGCGCTTAACCTCTACGGCCAGACAGTTTGGGAAACGCTGTTCCAGGATGTTCTCACTCGTCCCTGTAACCCTTTATAGCGTGTACTTATCGTTTCATTTGCTTTCGATTTTACACGGAGAGTGGGTCGTTTAATCGCGAACCTTTGATCGTTGGTCGCAACTGGTATTAACGATCATCGTTCGAACATAGGATCGAACGCTTTTGTCCGTCGCGTAAGCCTTCGACTACCCGCATATCGCAGAAACGATCCGGGTCGCTTTACACGCCATGGGTGGCGCCAGCGTCGACCATCGAAGATGGAAAATGCGATAGAACGGAAACGATGCAAGTGCAAGGATAAAGCGTTTCCCGTGTAACATGACAGAAAAAAGTAAGGTATCGTTACGATTAAAAGTTCATTAGGGTCAATCTTTGATTACTTTTAAATACTTTTTCAGGTGGCATATCTTTTACGACATCAAACAGTACAGGTTATATTACTTTTACGTTGTCAATAACTACAAGCTCTACGTTAGAAAAAGCAAACAAGACTACAGAAAGAAAAGAAAGAAATTACTTCCACTATACACAGCCTCTGTTTTAACATTCCTCGCGATTGGTAAGAACCACTTTCCGTTAGATCAAAATTACTATCTCGCTAGTTACACAATCTTTTCGACAATTCTTTTCTACTTCTAGATTCGGCAAAAAGCTTTCGCCTCGTTGCAAAGGAAAATTGGCGAAATTTTGTCAAGATACACGTCGCTGTAAAGGGTTAACATCTTCATGCACTCGTGACATCCCCCAGAAGAAAGGGGGTCGCATGCAGGCCAGGGTACGTTCGCAACATTGTTCGATCAACTGCGGCTCGAGCAGCATTCTTTCGTTTTCTCACAGCCACACAAAAGAGGTTTTCTCATTTCAGATCATACCGGGTCAAGAGGAGAAGAGAAATGTCGGAAGGGCCGCGGACGAATTGTACGTTAGACAGTCTACGAAAGATTACCTTGCTTCCAGAGCCAGCCTTCCTTATCCGGGTTGAAGAACGTGTGCATCAGATCGTTCCCATCGTCCTCCGGTATCTTGAATGGTTCTGTTTTTATACTTTCGTATAAACTCTAAAAAGAAGCAATAATTGAAACAAATTATTTTTCTCAGTAAATTACCTTCGTATCGAGCGAAATATATCAAAATTAACTTCCTTTTTCTTTTCTAAAATGGAATATTAATTGAATTTAAAAATTCAATTTTTTATTTAGATTAGTTTGCATCACGCATTGTCGTTCTTTCGAAACTTGGATAATCTTGTATGATAAAAAGACTTCGGAATGCAAGGAAAATACCGGAGGATGTGCAGGTTTATGCTGTATAAACATATAATTGGAAATACCAGTTTTCTTAACCGGCCCTTAAATGCTAAGAAAACACTCATTACTCGAATATCATGAACAACGATTTAAGGTATCAGAAAAATAAATGAGTTTCTGTACAATTCGAATACCCATAGAATAGTCCATTGAGAAGTAATTATCTTCAAATAAACTACTCCATTCGTCTTCAGCAGAATCAACACTGTAATGGTCACGAAGAGAAACAAGAATCACAACAACGTTTATGCTCAGTACAATCTACGAAGAAATAAATCGAAATAAAAAGAAGAAATATATCTAGCGTCAGTGCTAACACGTTATCCTACTTGTCGAAGATGGTACGATCGATGATTGCTATCCTCCTATCGGAGAGTCGACGTGTATACGACCATTGTACATCAACATCGATCTAGAATCGCTTTCTATTCGCAAGCGCAGTCAGACGAGGTGAGACGAGGCGCACTCGTCGACGCACCACGCCACTTTGCATAAATCTATCATTAAGGAATCACTGCAACGGACTTCCCCGTTAGCCGGTTAGTTCATTCTAATAACCGCGATCCGCCGGTTGCAAGGCGACTTGTAAAGCGCGCCAATTGCTTTATATCCTGACCACGGATCGCGCGGATGGAAGCACGCGTGCATCACGACACCAACGAAAGGTCGGCCACTATCGCCAGTGCACGCGAATGACGTATATACGTCCGTTGTTCCGCACGCTATTGTGTTATTTATTGTGTTTGTTAAGGCTCATTTGCCTCCTCGACTGATCTCGCCACAGTTACCCAACTGAATTTTTGCACAAGTTTCTTGGGATCTATATGTGTGCGTATTAAATGTATATTTCATTCAGATTCGTTTGCTCGCTATTTGTTGTACTTGATACTTGGAATCTATGTTACAGCTGCAGAATGCTATATATAAAATCAAGGACTCACCATGACTATCAAGTGGAATCAAGCATCTAGTATTTAATCTAATATGCAATATTTAATGTACAACGTATAAAAGTACCTAGTGTTTACCATTAAGCATCTAGTACTTGTTATCAGGTGTCCGGGATCCAACGCTGAGCATTTAGTATCCGGTGTCAACTGCTCGGTACCCGGCACTAGAAGTCTAGTATCGAGTATCGAGTATAAATATCTAAGATTTAACGCCAAGTGTTTAGTATTTGCAACTTGGTGTACGATTAGTTTTAATTATTTAGAATCCGGTTCATCGTATCTTTTTAGGTACCCTAAATGCGTGGTCGGGTCAATCCATTAGGTGGCGGTTTAAACGTGATGCGAACGTTTGCCAAGAATTTGTCGGTAACTTCTGATTAATACGTACAGACATCTTACGTCATCGCTACTACAGCTTTAATAAAAGCATCGTGCACGTTTCGATAACGTGGACGAGCCGCAGACAATATCGTAAAGACCACTTTCTCATCGATAAAACGAATTAGAGTCAACCGTAACAACGTATAACTCTCATCTGGGAACATGATTGCCTTCGATATCGGATACGATATTTTCATGTATATGTATATCTACAAAACAATTACACGGTTGCATTCTAGAAGACGAATTGAAGTTTCATAGTATTACACCACTAAATTACGTTGATTATTATAAATGATTTATTATCGTCATCCACCTATCGTATACACATTGCCGCTATATGTTCCCAGTAACAGAGTGCTACCTAATCATTACCGTTGGCCACACATAATAAAACTGTTACACCTGCAATGTCTAATTACAGGAAATATTTCGCGCACGTTTGCAAGACACGGCTAGTGGAACAAGGAGAATTAGCATTTTCTGCCGAGGCACGAATACCTCTAGCGAAAATTTCAACGAGAAACGTGCAATTATATCTTGGAACTTGGAACGAGGTTGCAACATCGAGTCGCGGAAAATGAAGTCGGCAGCGATCGGATTAACCATTTCACCCCAAATCGTTTCCCTACTGTCGATCAAGGTAAACAATCACGGTAAGGTATAACGCGGAAAGACCTAAAAAGAAATTAAAAATTTTGAAGACTTAAAAAATGTGCGTGAAAACGCAAATGTTGTCTATCATTTACGAGTTCTGTCAAAGATCCTCTTTTATAGGGAGACAAATCAGGGAGCGCAGATAAAGCCAGAGCAAGCAAAGGCACTCACCACAAGGAGTTCGCGAGGCAAGTCTCCGCCATTGTTGATGCCACGGTTCATAGATATGAACTGTTCCACGCTGGGCTTATCCTTGACGCTCGGATTGTGCAGGGACGTGTTCAACATGATGATGGCGAAGCTGAGCACGTAACAGGTGTCCGTGTTCGTGAATATGTTCGGGTTCAGCTGGCAATACCTCTGCGCGAAGCATTCCATCATCCGGTCGATCTTCTGAGCCTCGCCGGGCAGTCTGAACGACCAGAGGAACTGCCGAAGAGCTTGCACCAGGATCAGGTCCGTGAAGTCGTGCAATTCGACGAAGGCGCGCAACACCCTCTCGTTGAAGTCGTTTCGCTCGCCGAGGTAATCGCCGATCGCGGTTTTGTTCAGACCTTCGCCCTTGTAGAGGAACTGAGCGACGTCCTCCGGCGTCGGTGCCAGCAGATTATGCTCGATCAGGTACTCGATGCCCTTCTTAGGGTCCATGTTGAACTTCTTACGGCCGATCGACGTCTGCTTCGCCTTGTTTGACGGCTTGGTTTCGTCGGGCGCGAGACCACCGCCCTCCATCGCCTCCATCTCGGCCACCACTTCGCCCAGCTCATCTTTCAGTTGCTGCAACAGAAACGGACGGGTCAGGGAAACGTGCACGACAATGGCTTCGTTCGTTTTCGCCAGTCTCCGGCGGTACCTTCGCTCTTTGGGCACCTTTGCCCGATTTGAACGATCGATTTAACGCGATTTAAAATAGGGGAAGGTTTGAACGCGGGGTCCTAAGGTTGCCTCGCAGATTGAAGGCTTAAGCCGGTACGCTAGGTAGGCTTTGATCTGATTAATGTCGCGTATGATATCAGCTGGATCACGCATTATGGCAGATGGTTCATTTGGTCAGCTAAGATACTCCGTCGAGAAGGTTTTCCTCGAGTTTATCGATGACGTAGGTCGAAGGACTTTGAAGGTAACTCGGTTTGCTAGGAGGAGATGACCGGAAATGATAGGTTCTCCTGGAAAAGCTATATCGCCCGAGGAAGTTGAAAAGAGGGTCAGGAAATTCGATGAAATCGAACATTCGTGTAGTTATGCGGTAATAGGTATTTTATAATCTCAGTATAATGGAGCTTAGGATTTAAGGGTGGACAAAAATTTGTCGAAATAGCTCAGTCAGCAATTTATTCGACGTAGGAGATACCAAAGTATTATATAAAATTAACCCGTTTTCGTTCTTTTCTGATGCTTCTGCAATTTTCTGCTCGCTACTATTTCCATCCTCCTCCACTTTCGTTGCTTTATAAAAATCTTCAGCTTGGCTGCACCCCATGTTTAAAGGAAGTCCTTCACCTGGCGTGCTCTCATCTTTCCGATCTAGATAAGCGAAGAACTTTCCAAGGGTGAATACCGAGAGGGAAGCGTCACGAGTGTCACATCGAAGTGTCTCTCCCACGTAGCGTTCGAGATACCGTTTACGACACGTGTTAATGAGAAAGAACGTGCTGAGTCTCGCATTTCGGGATTCAGAATTAATACCGATCTTGGGAAGTACCACTTTCTTCAAATATCCACTATCTAACTCAATTTATCATCCTCTAATTAATCTCTACGAAATTTCAGGGCCAGAAGAAGCAACACCTCGGAGGAATACATCCATGCAGCAGCCATAATTGGAGTAGACACTGGTGGACTAGGAGAAGCGTAACCTTGGGCAGCTAACTCTTCGTCCACGTCGTATAAGATTCCTACGTTCCCCTATATCTCTATACAGCTTAAGTATTTCGAAAAAATTTTAGCTCGACATTCCTTCTCAAGGTTGCTCATAATTAGTTTATAAAATGCGTACGTTACAGATATACCCGAGCAGTTCACCGGCTATGCAAGTACCAGCACGAGCACTTCCTGTCGACTGTCTGTGACTCTACCAGTCGTGTGCAATTTCCTTCTGCGGCATTTCCCGTTCTGCACGCCGGATTTGGAGGACATTCCGTGGATTCCCATGTCCTTTTTCGTTTCCTTCCTCGAGCTACTGCGTCGCGGTGATCGAAAGTGTTCGATCGAGCGATTTTACTCGTTAAATAAGTTAAACACGCCTGTCTTACCGTTGGAAAAAGCAAGAGAAAATCCGCGATTCGCGATTAACTCTATTAGATCAGTTAGAACACGAACCATATTAACACGACGAAACGAACGAACAATGTTTGCGCACGAATTAACACTAGAACTACCAACCCAGTCAAAATGACTGGTCCCAGAATTTTCTTTTTTGCTATCACCGAACACATACACCTGCTTTAAGAATAAAATTGGTACCAAACTCATGTTAAGAAAGAACTGTAATCGATAGATTCACTCGTATTCATCGTATCGCTGAAATTACGATAATCTGAGCACGTTATAGTTAGGTGCCCACTAAAGATCGGTAGTTCTAGCGTTAAAAAGCCCGATCGAACACGAGCAAATTCTGCTCATTTTTCCTACCACGATCGAAATGACGCGGTTCATAATCGACGAGCAATTAAACGGTGTATATGACATTCCGAGACAAACGATGAAACTTTTGTTTCAGGGAGAAAAGTAATTTCGCACGGCGCTCCAGCGTTCCGGGGAAATCACAATTACGGAAATCAAGGCGAAACACAATCTCTCGTAAAGCTGCATAAAAAGGAGGGAAAAAAGGAGTGACGGTGCGTGTGTGTGTGCAGCGCGAAAACAAGCATACATTTTCATTCGTCGAGGTGGAACAGGGAAAAAATTGAAACGAGAAACGTCGGAATAATATTTCCACGCTGCCGTATACGAGCGCGTGTCTCACGGTTATGTTTTGACCCGGCCGCGTCCCGGAACACACCACCTCCGACCTTAATCCGGGATCAGACGCTTCCGGAAAAACGCTGTCACGCCTCTTAATTGCGACACCGAGTCGAGGAAACTTTGAAACCCGCCTCGCTCGTAGCACTCCACGAACACGGAGAAATCGGCCGGTTTGGTTTCATTTACCATCCAGCGACTGTGCATGAATCGAGCTTCCTCTGTTTCAAAATTTTCCGCCTTCATCTAGTACCATTTTCTGCTACAATTACTATTTTCCTTATGTTCGAATAACGAGTAACACGTATGTAATTTCGAATGGATGATGAGACTAGTGTGATGCATAATTTAGAGGTGAATCTTAACCCTGTGCACTCGGCGATATTTTCGTTACAGAAACATAGTAACTCGAAGACTTCCTGCCATAATGTCGACGATATTTTCAAAACGGTAACTAAGAAGTGCAGATTAATTGTAAGACATAGAATTATTTTACCTCGATATTCCACGCGTCGTTGAACAATTTTAAATTTCAGATCTTAATTAACAATGATCTCTAGAATTTGATTAAATGGCGACTGAGAGTCGCCTCTCGAGTGCAAAGGGTTAAATCGATGGTTATGATTTAATTTATTGTAGCTAAATTTCAAGTTCATGAGGCTTAACTAGGGAAAGTCTTGTCGATGAAGGTTGTAAAAAGGGCGATGTAATAATGGTGACAATGAGATTTATGTATGTAATTCGTGAAAGTCAAGGATGTCTCGTGAAGTTGAAGGTCAAGTATAAATGAATAGTATAAATGAACGCGATCTCTGGCAATTTTCCGACGACTTTTCTGCGATATTCGTTAGGAGTAATTGTAAAATAGATGAGTTCTTTGTAAACGAAGATAGGATTGAAAGGAAGAGACTGGTATGAACGGGTACGTGAAGGAAAATAGCATTAAGCGTCACAATCTTGCGAAATATCTTCTCGACGTTGAAATTCAAGGCGCAAAACGACGAATAATAAATGTAGCATAAAAATCCAAAGATTCACAGTTACTGAAATTTGCATATAAACTTTTAATTTGAATCCACTTGGTATTAGATTTAATTTATACAATTTGTTAAGCAGCATAGAAACTTCTCCTCGGAACGGAGTGCGTAGAAATATTAATATGAAATCCCGTGATTTTCCGCGAATTTTTCCTATTCACCGCATTCTTCGTCGCAGTGCGCACGGCGTTCGCGAGTTTTTAATTAACAAAAACGAGTAACAATCCCAGGGATTTTTATTAAACAAGCGATCCTTCGCTTTTTCGTCCGCGGATCCGCTCCGCTCGAACAACGAGCGACTCTTTGACCCATCGAGAACGAATCTTCAAGCTTTCCCGCGCTGAAAGAACCGCGAAACTTTTGGGAAAGCGGGATTTTAAAAAAGTTCCCGGTTTCGTACGGCAGAAGGATAAATCCTGCTTAATTACCGACAAAGGGATATCCGGCCTAATTAATGTTCGAGGTCGGCTTTCTTTTGCGCGAGAACCGCGCGATATTCCTCGAATGCTTAAGCGAGAAAATTATTCAACGATCTCGCGCTGCTCTCCTTCGCTGAATTGTTAACCCGATTTCCAGAAATTGTCAAACTAATTGCGCGTTTCCATCGCGCCACCGTTCGAATTTCTTTCCTCTGTTTCTACCGCGATCACTTTCGATTCGTGATCGCAGGACGATAATTCCGCGATGTTGTCCTCTTTCGTTGGAATATAATCGCGCGATGGGGATTTCCAAAAATTGTCGAACTTATGCCGCGTTTCTATGGTATTACCGTTAGAAATTTCTTTCGCTTACTCGTGATCGTGGAACGACGAATCAATAGGAATTTTGGAATGATCTCTTGCGTTTCGTTGGAATATAATCGCGAGATGGAGATTTCCAAAAATTGTCGAACTAATGGCGCGTTTCTATGGTATTACCGTTAGAAATTTCTTTCGCTTACTCGTGATCGTGGAACGACGAATCAATAGGAATTTTGGAATGATCTCTTGCGTTTCGTTGGAATATAATCGCGAGATGGGGATTTCCAAAAATTGTCGAACTAATGCCGCGTTTCCATGGTATTACCGTTAGAAATTTCTTTCGCTTTCTCTTGATCGTGGAACGACGAATCAATAAGAATTTTGGGATGTTCTCTTCCGTTTCGTTGGAATATAATCGCGTAGTGGATATTTTTAAGCACTGTGAGATTAATGGCGCGTTTCTATGACGCTACTATTCAGATTTTTATCTTCTTCTTGCGATCGTAGATTTACGAATCAGTTCCGCGATGTTCTCTTTCGTTACATTACAATATAATCGCGTGGCGGATATTTCGAAACGTTATTAAACTAATGGCGCGTTTCTATGACGCTACCGTTCAAATCTCTTTCTCCTTCTCCCACCGCGATCGCAGGACAACGAATGCAAAATAATTCCAAGATGTTCTCTTCCGTTTCGTTGGAATATAATCGCGTGGTGAAGTGTAACGTAGCCTCTGCCGGGTTTAATTGCATGTATTTGTAATATGATGTATTACTTAATAACGTGGGTGCATCGAACTGAGGAATTTTTGCTTCCCGTTAGTCGTTGTTAGAAGCGTCTGGACACGACGCGATGTTACGAGGAGAAAGTAACTCGTTAATGTTATTCATTGCGATAGTACTCTGCACGGAAAGGAAAAACAATAACCGAATTTTTCTCTACCAGGAAGAATTCCATCTCGAGCATGTCAGGAATTTTGGAAGACCATAATCGCCCCTGATACAGTGAAGAAAAGGTCCCGAACCAGACGCCAAGACG